GTTTAGGTTAGTACAAGTGGCGCCCATGTCAAACCTCATACTTATGATTCTCATTTGAAAAGCGCATTGGATTATGGGAAAATCAATGGTCATCAACACAAATGTCACACATGCGCAGCGCGACGACCACCGCGATTTAAATGCGTCAATGGGCCGCATTTTATGGTTTTTAGTTCAACGTAGTAATCTTTTTATTAGAATACAACAAACTTATTTTAATATTTCTAGATGGTATATTCACTAGAAAATATCTCTCCATTTAGTATACCGCATTTTTTGTGGACAAAAAAAATTACAAAATATTATATCATGAGGTTGGAACTACTGTAAAATATTTTATTTTTAGCTAGAATTAATTTTCTTCTGTTTTGTATGAAGTTTATTGTCATATGACAAAAATATATGAAACTCTTATGATAACTCTTAAAAAACTGTTCTTTGGGAAAGTTGTTGAGACTCTTCTGAACAGTGTAACACGATTATCACTACATGTGCAACATATATCAATTTGGTTGTTCAGGATTACTTCATAGTTGAGTTTGTGTTGTTTTCCTGACTTTAGCTATTTTCACCGGCTCGACCGGCGTTCTCCAGCAGCTCGCGCACAGAGCCCATAGAAACACATGGTAGAGTGATGCGCGTCGTAGCAACGTAGAACGTTCTGTGACGTAGCTCCGCTCCCGATAATAAATAATTCAACACTTACATGGCGGTGAAAAAGGTTCCGAATTTTGTTGCAGTATCTATCAGGGTTGGTATCGCCATCGAAGTTCCTAGTGTCAGCACGTACCACCAACGATCCGCCGATGAAAAGATCTTCCACCATGCTGCCTTCTCTGAACACACGGAAAACGGCTTGTGGGAACGGTGAACACTTGCAGTTAGAGATATTGGCGTCACCAGGTGTGAAGAACTCTGTTGCCCTCAGGCTTGGGTATCTGTGGAGTAGAAGTTGAATTATATTGCGCCCTCATCGATCAACATAGACAAGAGCAGTTTAATCAATAATCCATTGCCTGAGAATCAAGATGGCTGATATAAAGTTGAATATCTAGAGAATGAAAAGTGATATAAAAAAACCGTAAATTGCATTCCCCTACATTTGTGGAGCTTTTTTCAGAGGTCATTATGTTGTTTCGATTGATGTTTCCTTTAATCGTTAGCTGGTTTCCGTCTCAAGTGTCACGGCGCACCAAGCCACAAGAGGCCATTAACTAGTAACGTATCCGGCATTCTGATTGGTCCATCACTTTCTCGTTGCTTGTTATATTTTCTTTGGTTAACTAACGTCAGCGCTTACGCTCGTGGCCGTTCAGGGGTTTCCCTTTTTACTTTCGAAATTTGGGGAATAAAAAACTGTTTCTTTTGTATGAACATGGCTTTATTGTAGTATTACAGACACGTTTACGCAGAACGGAACATGGAATGTTTTTAAATTACGTCACTCAGTTACGTGCCTTCCGGCCGGAATACCGGCCAAGTGGAACAATATGGCGATTACTAGTTACCTGCGTCCTTCTTGCCATTCGCAAAGGACACCGGGAACCAGCGAATATTAATCGTTGAAGGCATCGTAACTCTCGCATTAAAATTTTGCGTTATGAACAACAAGAATTGTAGTATCAATTCATATTTACTTTTCAATGGTATCTTCGATAGATACGATAATGGCAAGAGATGCTTTCTTGAACCAGTCCTGTGTTTTGACCCAGTCTTCTGGAAGCTCTCTCAAGTATTCAACGTTACCCGGGGTCGGCGTGCCGTCCACTGGTTTAGCGCTCTCTTCAGGATTGATCAGCATGACGTCACATAGATAACCCTGTCCCATCTGATAGAGGGCAGACACGACACTAATGTGTTCTATTAGAAGAAAACGTCTTTATTAAAAGCTAGAATTTATATCTGTTTGTTCTATTTTATCAAAACATCGCGACATTTGAAGCGCTCTAACCGTATGAAATTAGACAAACGCGGGACATATACTTACTGACAACCCAGTTGCAAATTTCTTCTTGGTCGATAGGACTGAACACTTTCTTGGGCAGAGTGACGTCATTATACGTTGACCGTAACATGGTGGCCAGTGAACGTACGTTGTAGCGGAAGCCGTGGATAAAACCGGATGCTGCCCGCCGATCACGTGACTGCATGGGCGTACCAATGAAATACAAGTCTCGAACTGTCGTCTGCCAGTGCGCATCGAGAACAGGAAACTTTCCTTCGGTGTGAGTTGCTATAAAAAACACACACACACATTGAATAAAAATTGAAATTTAGCTTGAGATCTAGTTGCAAGTCATCGAGTTTAAAGCGGAGGGGTCGTCACCAGCACATGCGCAAGAACTGAGTCCCAAGAGACGATATCAACGCACGCTAAAAACGCAAAGACTTATGGGTAGGCGCCTATTTGTAAACAACAACACGCTATGGCCGTTTGCTGTATGCGCACGTGACGACTCCCCCTGTTTTAAAGTCCGAGACATCGCACAGCCTGTCAAGCCTGAGGGCGCTTTCAAATTCCGTGCAAAGAAAACAATGCTTTACGTGATGAAAACTCACCAGGTTTGCACGACTCGTCAAACATGTCAATGTTAATGAACTTCCATCCGGTACAGGAGATAATTTTATCATATCCACTCGTAACGAAGCGACCAGTGCCTGGCGGATTCCAATTGGGCAGGCGCATATCGTACTCGATGCTAAATTTGCCGTCTTCCGTCTTCCACACGCGCGTAGCGTCACATTTGCGTAGCGCGTGCAGCGATTTGAGGTGATACATGTCCAGGAGGTTGTTGTTGACGGCGCGGAGATGACCGACAAAGTGGGTATCCCACGAAAACTTCACAGGGTGTCGGTTGAACACGTGAATAATGCCAGCGGATGCAGCAAGGTGGTCAGCAACCTGAACATAAAAAAAAATTGAATGGATTAGTATCCACGTTATTGTTCATATCCCCCTATTCTGAGTATATAATAGACAATGCGATCTTAATGCCTCCGCGTACAGGCGGCGTCAGGATGGTCCGGCTCAGTACGCGTACGGCCTTGGTTTGGACGTTCCGGTCCCAATGCAGGTTGGTCGTTCCGGCCCTGGTATAAATTCGACATGTTTCATATCTAATTGCAATATATTAACTGCACAACGAATGTGTGACTATCTTATTTACAACTCATTTTTCGTCATTTTACGATTAAACACTGTGTTTGGCACAATGCTGCAGATCTTTGTTCATTTACTCGCCGCCGCCTTTTCTATTTCCCTTGGTTACCTGACGTCATCGCTTACGCTCGTATCCCGAGAGCAGGGGTTTCCTTTTACTCTCGAAAGTTGGGCGAATAATGTTTCTTTTGTTGTAAATTGGCACAGAAACAGCGAGAAATGCTAGAAACATCTCAAATATGTAAGTCTAAGAAGGAAGAATGTCTAGGTATGGCGTAATAAAGACTTGTTTACAAAAAACGAATATTATAATGTTCCCAAATTACGTCACTTACTCACGTGACTTTGAGCCGGAATGCCGGTCCAGTGGAACAATATGATTACTAGTTACCTGCGCCCGACTTGCCATTCGCAAAGGACGCCGGGAACAAGCGAAGTACGTTGCGTGTCAACGAATGCGGATACAAATTTTAGATATGCAAAAAAACTTACCTCAAAAGCGCTGTTTCCACCGCCAAGTATGCAAACTTTCTTGTTCTTGTACTCATTTGTGTCCAACGAATGGTCTTGATACGTGTCAATCAGTTCAATGCCCGGAATCGCTGGGTTATGCGGCAACGACGGCCCCGTTCCGACCAGAAGCACCCGGCAAGTGAACAACTTGTCAGTATCATCGGAGACGGTGAACTTAGATTCGGAATGCTGTCCGTCTTTCATCTCGTCTCGGTGAATATTTGCGATATTGGTATTGTAGCGGATGTTCATGGGATATTTCTTACAGAAATCCTCCAAGTATCTGTAAATTGTTTTAAATAAATAAAAAAAAAACATCAAAATGTGTTAAAACGAAAACTGAAGGATGAATATACATTGTATTGACAAATGCATTTCAGTGTGAACGCGTGGCATATATTGGAATTGTAAAAATGCGAGTTACCACTGTGTAGTGCGCCCTCTACGACGGAATAACACAAATGTAACCACTTTCATCGGCGAGGGCGCAACAACCTCATACCATACGAATCCTCGGAGGCGGACATCCGGGCATTTTCACCGCCTGGCAACCCGCGGCGGTGAAAACAAAGGCCCA